TTTTTTTTTTTGGATCAGGCTTTTTGATATCGTTTTTTAACATAGTATAGAGCCACTTCTTGTTTTAAAAAAGTTGGTTTGTAATGACTTGATGTTGCAAGTGTCTATTGGACATGTTTTTTTGTCATTTTTTGTCACTTGTTGTTATTTTCAGATTCTACTGGTCACAGCATCTCAAAGTTCCTATTTGGTTTTATGTGACTAATTTTTTCTTCACTGGCAGTTACTGTTCCTGTAATAGTTGCTCCTGTTTTCGGTTATAAATTTTGAACTTGGAACGTAAATGAGATTGAGGTGTTTTTGCGGTACTTCCTCTTTTTTTTTTTAATTCAAGATTTTTTAGTATTTTCTAGTTACTGTTTTATTCTGTGTATTGTTTTTTGCTAAACAATTTTTCAGTATGTCTTCCTCAAAATCTTTACTTTGGAGTAGCAAAGTGCATCTCCCGCTATTTTCAAAATTTTGGGTTTATTTTGTAGCTTAACACTATCAAATTGCTTGTGAAGTAACTTTACTGTTGCCGGGAGTGTTCTTACCTGTATCGAGAAGTATATTTATAATTGTTACATCAATACAGCTTAAAGCAGTCTTTCAATAGCTTGAATTTTTTACGGGAAGTTTGTGGATATGATTATTGATTATATTAAAGGATCTATTTTACTGTTCAGGTTTATTGCGATAAGGGGTGGGTTTTGCTACTTATCAACAGGTTTATTTTTAGTATTTACCTCTTCATTATTCGTATATTGAATGAGTGTCACTACGTTAAAAGAGGAAATTTCTAGATTTGTTGCGATTTGTTGTATATTCCCCTCGTAGCTATTGTTAGAATGAGCAGTTTTCACCATTGTCATAATGCGTGATTAGATGATTGGAAAATAATTTTTAAATTTTATCAGCTTTTGGACTCTGGTCTAAATAAATTATTTTTGCATTTTATATTACGTAAGTTGTAGTGAGATTCGTTAAATGCACATATTTTTATTGTTTGTTGATTGCTTCTGCCTTCTGCTGAGATCCAAATTATCTTTAGAACTGGAGAGTTGGAGTGTTAGGTGGTTTTAGCTCTGCTGTTTGATTTTGATATTTAGACTGGTGTTGTTTTGGAATGCTGACACGGTGAGGGAGGTTACATGATATTTTATTCTTGTATTCTGTGTTTTTTTTTCTTATATTCTTGTTAAATTTAGACTGCTGTCTTTAATCAGTTGTGCTTGCGCCGATTGCTCTCCCAAAATTATTTAATTCTCAGTTCTCAGGTGTTCGTTGTTCATCATTTTGATGACAAACAGATGTTATAACTATATGTCAACGTGATAAGTGACTGTCTTAACTACTGGAGGTGTTATTTATTTTACTTTGGTTACAGAGGAAAGATAACGCTTACATAGGGTTGCATTTGAATATCATATTCGTCAAGACGTTGTGGCATCATCAAAAAGTCCATATTTAACTACGAAAAGCTCAAGAATTTAAGAAAATGCTATTAAAAGGTGGCTTACAAAAATCCAGACTTGATCTGGCTTCTTGTTTGTTTTTACTTGTTTGATTTAACCTGTAACATGATTAATTTTTGGACAGCTAATTTTTTATTATTATTATTTTTTTGTTGTCTTGCTGTGAAAACCATTGATGTGGTGCCCAATTTTGATTCCTCATATTGGTTGAGTGTGAGTCAAGTTCACTAGGGTAAGTCATTAAGAGGGTAAAATCAAATATTAAGATTTATGTAATTTTTGCTTCAAATTATCAGTAAGATTTGTGATTTCTTTTTTTTTTTTCTGTTTAAATCTTTATTTGAGTAAAGTGTTGCCCTCATAAATAAACCTTTAAAACAGGTCGGTCAGTTTGATGGTAAGTATCGTAAAGAGTAGCAATACGGCGCCAGCCGGTATTAGTGAATTTTATGTAAACAAAACTACGTTTTATTCGAACAAGGCAGAAATGTAGAAATATTTCAAATGATCTATTTATGCTTTTCTTTGAACAGTTGTTCAATTGTAAGTTTTTTGGCGATATCGCTGCAGTTTTGACTTGTCAGTTTTAGGCTGTAGTAACTTTGTTCGGTACGTCTATGAATTTTTTCGTTTCCTACGTGGTTTTAATTTTTGAATTCTTACTGTTTTAAAACTCATTTTTTAACGCTTTCTGATTTTTTGGCTTTGTTCAGAAATTTTAGAAATTAGTTGTCTTTTCTGGTAGACTTGTCTAATATTTGCTAAGATAGGTTTTTTGGCAAGTGAGACGAGGCTTGATGTTAGATGATAGTTCTGCTGCTACTGTACTTTACTTTTTTTGCGAGTTGTGTTTGCTGTCTGTTCGCAACATTTCTATATACATGTCGAGCTAACATCTATGGTAGAGTATTTTTTCTTTTTCATTCAAAGATAGCTTAGTCTTTGAATCTTTCAGAAATGGATGATTCTATGGACTTTATTCCAAGCGGAACTGTAAATGGTATCCTTCCTAATCATTTTACTTATTTTTCTTCTGGTTTTATCTATTTAGTTTTTTTATAACAGGATATGCTGTTCATGTGATAAAAGAGTTTTATTTCTTTAGATTCGGCATGTTGTTCTGCAGGGGAGAGCTATACCCATACATACCGGCAGTCAACCTCTTTTCAAGGGAATTCATCACTTTTAAATCCTAATATTCTCGAGACAACAGAATTTAACGATGGCATGCACGCTGGCATTGTATTAGCTAACTTGTCTGGTTTTCGAGACCGGAAGTTCATGTGCGATGTGGAGATCGAAGTATGCTATAATGAACTGATAAATTCTATATTGGAAGGAGAATTTTCTTAGAAAAGATAGAGTTTTTGTTTAAATTTGAGCACAAGTTAAATGTAGACGTCATGACAGGTACTAAAAATATGTTTTTAAGTTTGGTATTGTTTAATCGACTATTTGAAACCTATAATTTATTCATTTAGCTAGTACTGTGAGAGCTGGATCTAGTATTGTGCAAATTTATCATAAGTAATCTCAAATTTTTACGAGCCTGAATTGATATATTTCTTACTAGGTCGATGGCCAAGTATTTCTAGCGCACGGATATGTTTTAGCTGCAGCAATTCCTTATTTCTATTCAATGTTCGCGTCAGATATGATGGAAGCACACCAGAAAAGGATTGTTATTAAGGTCAGTAGTTTTTCAGAGTAGTGGCATATCTGCGGTTTTGTTCAAAAATTTGATATTCTTTTTTAAAATCAAATACTGTTGCTATTAATTCACAGTGTTATAAATTCACTGCTAGTAGTTGATTTTCAAGGACCTTCCTGTGTCAGCTTTTAAAGAATTGCTGAATTATGCCTATACTAGTAGAATACGGATAAGTGGAGACAATGTTCAGCAGTTATTATATGCCGCCTCTATACTTCAGGTATTTTTTTTATAAAACTTCATGCCTTTATCTTTTGATTTTTATTTTTGTTCTTTTTCTCCAGATGGATGCAGTTTGTGGCGCCTGTCAGAAGTTTCTTACCCAATATTTGACAACTTCAAACTGTTTGTCGATAAGGCACTTTGCAGAACAACACAACTGTGTTTCTTTAATGTTCTCTGTTGATGAGTTCACAATGGAGCATTTCCCGGTGAGGTTCACATAGGTTTTTGATTGTTCATCTTGGGGTTGGTTGGTTTAACTTATACAAATGTATATATGTGTATATTTTTTTCATTATTTTTTACTTGTAGCTCTTTTGCTTGCTTATCTGCAAAAAAGCATTTAATACTGTTTTTGAAAGCGAAACAAAGCAAACGGGTTTAGTAAAGATTGGCATTTCATAAGTAATCTCGAAAAGTAGAATAGCTTTTGTAAAGTTTACCTGTTACTGGAATATTTTCAGGAACTTCGACAATTGCACGAGTTTCTTCAAATTCCATTCAATCATCTGGTAGATCTTTTGAAAAGTCCAGATCTCAAAGTAAATAATGAAATAGAAGTGAGTGTTTCGTTATACAAACTTCTTCTGGGAGTTGAGCTTGAAATGTTAAAGTGTGTTTAGGTATTTGAAACTGTTATGCAATGGGTTGAAGAAAATGTTACTGACAGGAAACAGTTGTTACCAGAACTTCTTAATTTGGTTCGTCTCCCAGAGCTTCCTGCTCCGTTCCTACTGGACGTTGTGAGGTGCAATAGATTAATAGTTGTAAGTGTGTTATTGTATGATTCATTTTTTTTCATATCTTTCGTTTACTGATCTTCTACGTTTCGTCCAGGACTGTCTGAAGTGTCGGGAAATAGTGGCAGATGCCATCTCTGAAGTACTCCGTTCACGAATTGCCGATTTAGTACTTACAAAGAATGACTGTTTTTCAAATGAAAATAAATTTGTAAGCACTCTCGATCCATCCGTTTCTGGAAAACAGTCTCCAAGTGTGATGTCTTCGGATGCGGAAAGTTAGTGGTTTACAGTGATTGGGATTGCGAATTCCTTTCATTACGCTTGCTGTAACTCTTAAGGCAGCAAAGTTTTATTTTTAGAAGGCAGCGATATATTAAACTGTGATGTTTCAACTCCTCCTCCTCAAACAACTAGTAAGTGGGCGAACTGTAGGCCGAGGAAGAGTGCTGCTGGCGTGGTTTTTTGCGTTGGTGGTAGAGGTAATTTTTTGGTTTTACACGGTATTTTTTCCGCTCAGCATTCGGGGAAAATGAAACATTCTTATAATTTGGACACGCAGAGCGCAGTAAGTCAAAATAATCAGGACGGCATTAATTCAAAGACAGCATTAATATTATGTTTTCAAGAAAAGGACGGCATAACTGCACATATTAAGACAGCTAAGGAAAGTTGTAAAACTGAATAGGACTATGAAGTGTAGTATTAAGTCCAAAAAGAATTTCGCGTGTAAATTAGTCTAGCAAACCGCTTTTAATTTTCTTAGATTTATCTTTGGTTAAGATATTTAAGCATTAACTCTAGGGCTACTCCAAACTGTAACTAATTTTGTAAGAAAAAAACTATTTTAAAAAGGTTTCAAAATAAAGTAAGCCTTTCAGTTGCCAACGCATCCCATTGAAGCGCACTAATAGTTAGAATGCAAAAGTTGATAGTCACTTACCCATTTTATATGGAATTCTTGTTCCATCCAGTTTTGTGGTTACAAGATTTTTGACAAAAGAAACGTTTTTTAAGGTCATGTACTGTTTTCGGAAAAAATTCAAAACCGGTTTGAGCTTCACACCTCTTATATACCTTGCATAAATCCTCATAGCGTTATTGAAACTTGGTGGATATAAATATCAGGTTGTCTCTCGAAACTCCTGAGATTATAGGGTTGTTAAATGAAAAGCAAATACGCATTGCTAAATCAAATATAATCAAAGTTGGTACTTTGCTGCAGCTTTGTCAGACATTTTGCAAATCAATATGATTTACAAAGGGTTAAGCTTTGCAGTTTTCTGCAAAAAAGTTTATTTGGCATGATGCGTCAAACAACTTGTCAATAATGTGTAAGCTGGTTAGCGAAGGCCTTAGCACGTCAGTTTTTGACACAACTGAAAAAGGTCTCAGGAAGTTTTATACTGCTAAGCAGTGTTTTTCGACATTTTTTTTATCTTGTCGCTCTTTTAAAATAAAAATTTAGACAAACTTCTTGTTTTTAACGTAGCCTCACCTAGCTAAACGACTTAATAACGAGGTAGCGGCTTGATGGTTTACGAATTTTTTATTATTTTTTAAGGTACATTGGGAGATCCCTTCCGTTCGGTTGAAGCATACGACTGGCGGAAAAACAAATGGTTTGCTGTCAGTGATATGAACATCAGGAGGAGGCATGTTGGAGTCGTAAGCGCTTCAGGGA